CAATGATCATTGAAGCACTTCGTGTGTGCATTACTAAATGGCGGAAAATGGGGCAAAACTTGACGTCCACTTAAATTTCTGCTGCGGGTTACCTGGCCCCAAATATCATCATAGCACCATGCATATCATACAAGCTTCAACTATAATCTGCTTATGCACCGATCCTCCAAACACATCCCCGCACCCATCCACACCTACACCGCAAAACACACCAAACACCCACCTTCACGTCAATTTACGCATCAGATCGTTCAACAAACGGCGCATCGCAGTCAAGCGGGGCGCGTATGGACATAGCGGAAAGTTCATGAACTGCTGCGAGAAAGCCTGTCTGATCACCCAGAGCCAGCACAATAAAGCAGAAAACAAGTGATACATTACGAAAGTGGGCTATTTGCTTCTAAAATACAATGCAAATGCGATCCATCCAAAGATGGATCAAAAGACCAAGAACAAAAGCCCGTCGACAGCGTCACAGTCAGCCCGGCCGGGCAACCGAAGTTCAAAGTTGCCGCATAGTTTTGGTATGACTCAGATCGTCACATATATGGATTTCTCTTGGATCCAGATTAGAATGAAGACAGGCGCACCAGGCGACGGCGGCAATCATCCCGGCCAAGCTCCGGTGCTCACGTGAACAGCATGAAGACGGTGTACGGCATGAGGACGATCTCGGAGAGTGCCACGGCGCGCAGGATGTTCTGCGACTGCAGCTCCACCAGCGAGATCAGGTAGCGCGCCCCGAGCGAGTTGTTCTGGCCGGCCAGCTGCCGGCACAACCCGACAGGCGTGACACAGAGCGCGCAAGAACAGCGACGCTTGATACGTCTCAGCCGCCGGCACAACCCGACAGACGTGACACTGGACGCATCAGAGCAGCCACACGGCAGCCACGCCCTGAGGCGTCTCAGCCGCCGGCACAACCCGACAGGCGTGACATGGAGCGCGCCAGAGCAGCCACACGGCGGCCACGCCCTGACGCGTCTCAGCTGCCGGCACAACCCGACAGGCGTGACATGGAACGCGCCAGAGCAGCCACACGGCGACCACGCCCTCACGCGTCGGATATTTGCCAATAGGCAAGCTCTCCATAACGTCCTTCTCTGCTGCCTTTCAAGTTTTTAAGTCGAGGAAAGCCCACCATGAATACGTAAACAATGGGTACTGGTGAAGCAAACGTACGAGTAGTCACTGAGACACATCACGAAAATGTCCCGATGTTTTCACGATCTCTCATGGTCATAGTGGTGGTCGCGACTATGCGTAGTGCCGGAGACATCGACTGTTCTTGTAGCATATCCCAATGACTACCTAATGTGTACGTGTCACCAGTACTATCTGATGTACCTGAGGCCGTACGAATAAAACAGCACTAATAATCTTATTGCTCATAGATTAACTAGAAGAATGGAGGAATAGATGGATTGATATATCGGCTACATGCCTTTATCAAATCGACTACCAGCAGTAAATTCAAAATTGTCTGACGATGATAGCACTCGCTTCTTAACGCTTTTTCACAGCAAGCTACAGTTTTTGCCGGTCACCAACAGTAAGGGGTTAACCAAAGAGCAATTACCAGCCCTTACTGCGATGCAGTACATACGCAACCAGAATAAAAATACGTGTGCACGCCGACGGATTTAAGTAAACAGGAATCACGCATTACACATCAGCCACACATGCAGTTAATTTCGTAAGTTGTTTAGTGCATTCGCGGGGAACAGTATTCACATACACAAGCCAGTAGTAATTGATTCATTCCTCAGAGAAAAACATCAGGAGAATGGAGATATAAATGGGTTGATTTTTCGGCAACATGCCTTTATCGAAACAATAGTAGAAGTAGTATTTTATAAGAATACATTCAATTATTTTCTACTAATATATTTCTGTTATTTTTTGGCTTCTGCTGTTGTTTCGATAAAGACATGTTGCCGAAATATCAACGCATCTACCTCTCCATTTTCCTGTTTTTTTTTTCTCCGAGGAATACGGTTATCACCACTGTCTTATGTATCGAAGCAATTTCAAGTAAACAGGCATCACGCATCACGCATCTCTCGTACACGCAAATGACTTCAAGTCAGCAGGCGTCGCGCGTTACGTGTCAGGCACCACCCAAACATTTAAACGATTTTAGGTTAATACGCATCACCCTACCTACCTACCTGGTTTTCAGCCCATGCGTGTTTTCCAAAGAATGGTTGCCAAAAGGTGGTATGGAACAGGGAGGGACCCTGTCTCCTTTTAGAGCTCAATCATCTACAGCGCACAGTACCATCAAAGCAGGAAAATAATTGAATGCATTCTTATAAAAAGCCGGCGACGTGCTGCTCGCAACCTTATAATTCTTTACATGCATGATTGATGCCTGATGCGTAATGCGGGATGCCTGTTTAACTGAAATCCATTGGACGCTTGAAAGAAGCGTGATGCGTGATGCTGGTTCACTTGAATTAGTTTACATGTGGACGTGTTTTTCGTGCATTTTAATTCTTAGATATGCACCGTATCGCAGTAATGGCTGGCAATGGCGTCTTGTTTAATCCCCTAAATGTTGGTGACTTGTAAAAGCTGTGGCTCGCTGTTGAAAAAACCCTGAAAAATCGAACAGGATTGCGCGCAATCTTAATTTACTACTGACACTTATTTGGATAACGGCATGTTTTCGAAATGTCAACTCATGTCACTCCATTCTCCGGACTTTTCCACCAGGAATAAGGCTATTAGCACTGTGTTATCCATATGCATTACAAATTGCTTGACATATGGTTAGTTGTTCAACCATCATTTCATTTCATTGTTTACCAAACTAAAGGCAGTCGGTAGTGACTTTACTGACTTTGTGTGAATTTTGGTAGTGACTTTACTGACTAGATATGATCAGCTGCTCACAAAGTGCTAATAGTGGATCATTTTGGCGCGCTTGCCTTTCACGAAATGAACCGTTTGCCTACATAATTTTCGTTTGCGTTTCACCACATCGCGTTTTACTTGTCATGAGGTGTAAAGCGTTGCGCAAGCAAGCGTAGTCAGTCATAGTTCAGGCACTGCTGTGTATGCAACGCGAAGGTTGCTATTGATGTGCGTGTTTGTAGTTCACAAATGGGTTAGATGTTGTCCATGATGCGTATGAATCTGTAAGGCTGTCCGTTTTTAAGTATATATAGCATTCCTTCTTTGTGAAAATGACGCTCATTTGCTTTCAAATACCAACCAACTTTGAGCTATGGATGTCACATTTTCTCTTTACAAAAGACAGCTATGCATATTATGCAGGACATGAAATAGATCACAAGAACCAAGGTAAATAAAAGTTAAAAATGTTTCCAAGTGTGACATTTATCATACTCCCTGACTCAAGGCCTGGGTATTTACATCGTTTTGAAGTGACCTCTGAAGAGCGACAAAGGTGCTGGTGAGAACTTAGAGAATTTGTGTGCACTTGGCCAAAAATGTATGTTGGCCCTTCTGAGACTCTAAACCTTGCAATCAGTCGAACTTTTAGGCCTTGAAGAAATGAAGTGTGATATCTTCAACAACTGTTGCCCTGAAAACCACTTTTAAGGCAATAAATAATTATATATTTTTTATTATTTCCTTTAAGTCAAATATCATGCTCAGATTATGTATAAGGATATGTGCAGGAATGACAAATAAAACGTTTCAGCGCGGGTCATCAAAAACTGAGTTAAAACAATCAGTGATCCTGTAAATTGTTACAGCTCTTAGTTGGGACCTTCAGTGGAGCAATATTGGAAACATTGACCAGGAAAAAAACAATGCCTGCGGGTCTGTAATGGGGGGGGGAGGGGTAAGGGGTTTTCCCCCCAAATTGTCTTGCAGGCAGGGCGGGTTTCAGCATTTTGGTGTGGGGCGGGCGCGGGCTCTCGAAATCCAAAAAACGTGGCAGCACTAGTGCACACCCCTTGTCAGCTCGTCAGCCCGGAGTCGGCCCAGTGCCGGAAGCCATGGGGCCGCGCACCGTCGTCCACTGGCAATGTTAAGAGCCACTAGCCGCGTTCTTTTCCGGGCCGTGGACAGACACTGGCGTCACCACTCACATCCAGGAGACGCAAGCCGTAGCTGGCCGAGTGCAGCACCGCGAACAGTGTGGGCGGCACCAGCACCATGGTCATGGGCGCGCCATACAGGAACACCAGCGCGAAGAGCAGATAGTGGCAGGCGTCCTCGGCCATCAGCGTGGCGAGGAACTGGCGGCTCATTTGCAGCTGAGGCACGCGCTGGTGCAGCCGCAGAGCTGACGTAGCCACGGTGGCCACCAGCGCCTTGCTGTAGGCGTTTGCCGCTGACCTGGTGTGGGCCAGACGAGAGCACAGACTATCACACAGCGAACAGCAGCGACAGCCGACACGTGATGCCATCAACCGTCATCAAACGGACACCTTCGGCTTCACGCATAATTTGACTGGTACTGCATATTGCTTCCACAACAGGTGCTAATAAAACGATATTGAGGGTGATGTACTCGCTTGAGATGGGGCTGATGACCATCCCAGCTATACCCCTACGGTACAGAGACAGACAACGCCCAAAAGCATGTGGAACCTAGAGGATCAACATCTCACAGCTTCATGAACATATCCCTGATGATCACCAATCGTACACTGACCCGAAGATGGGCAGCAGGTAGCCGATGGCGAAGAGCACCTGCGCAAGGCGGGTGCAGAACAGGGCGAACGACACTTGTTCTGGACAATGTGCTCACGGACGCCTTCTATGCCAGCTGGTCGGCCACCGGGCTGGTCGCTTGGCCGTGCGCCCTCCGAGCTGTCCTCAGCAGTTGCGTCCATTCTGGCTGCAAATGAGCACCTGGTCAACTGTGACCCACACTACTAGAACAATCCTCTTAGACCACACTTTGAACATAACATGTATTCAAACATTCAAAAAATCATTTTGCAGGCTTTGAACTTAGCTTTCAATCATATTCATAGTCATTGACTTCTGGATTGGAGAGCGGGCGATCAAAAAGAGCAGGCTTAAGTGGTATCTTGGTGCCATCACTGACCTTGATTCAGGGGTTTCTTAACCCTGTTATCAACATGGATAGTGTCTTTTGTTACTACCATCATGAATTAACTTAAGTCAAACCCAAAGATGTAAAACAGCATCTAAGCATCCATTTTCAACATGGCTGACAGTGATCAATAACAGAAATTACTGCTTTCTATTTGCCTGTTCAATTAATCCTGTCACTGCTTTTTGTCACATATTGCACAAATGAAAGAGACCTGCCAAACCGCTAATGCAGAGTACGGCCAAACCAAACAAGAGAAGATAACCAAAATGGTACATAAGGGCATCAGCATTTCCACTCAAATTTTATTTGAATATGGTGCCATGCAACTACATGATAAACAGTGGTATGTGCATCTGAAACAATAGTCAAAGCCCCCCCTCTTTCTCCACCACCTCCACCAATTAGTCCTGCATGTTTAACATCACACATGGGCCCTGACAGATAGCTAAATCTCAGTGCAAAATTTAGACTGGGTAAATCAGTGGCATCCATCACCATTGGACAGGTGCAAGTAGAGAAGTCAAAATTGCAAACTTCTTTTGCTTTAAGATGTCTTCTCATTGGTCACCTGGGTAGGTACATATCCAAGGGTGGGGCCAAGGGTGGCCACCCTTTCCATCTCCTCTCCTGTGCCAAATGGCTCATGCTTTTTGCTGACTGATTTCAAGATTCACAGGATTTTAGTGAACATCTGAACTTTGGGCCCCTGATGACACAGTTCAGCTGCATGCCTGCAACTGGAGCACATGCCTCTAGCCTGTTTTGCAAGCACTGAACTGTGTGTGAAGAAATGTCAATGATAAAAAAATCAGGAAAACTAACTGACTAGTTTAAGAAATACAATACTGGTACATGTAACACCAAATTGTGCACACCTTACATGCTTATGAGTGCAAGGCAAAACTATCCATAACTAGGTTTATCTGTGGGCTTCACCTACTCCTTTCATACAATTAATAGGTTCAGCAGCCTTCTGGATGAGTGAGAGATGGAGCCCCTAACAGTTGGTGTGGGTCCCTATTCAGCTGAGGGGTTTCACTCCACCTCCCTCTCCCCCCCCCCCCCCCCCCCCCCCCCTCCCTCCCACTTGAGCTCCTACCTCCGAAACTTTGAGAGCTAAGCGAACCAAATCCAGGGAGAAACTTATATGTTGGGGAGCTATAAGGGTAGACCGCATAATTGTTTCATGGTTCAGCCCCACCCCACCCCACCTTCAATTCCCCCAACCTCACCGTGTGGTACTACCAAACTACACCACCAGCTCCTGGCAAGGGGCCACGACAATCTTTGTGCTACTTCGTATCCTGCAACCCAGTCCGCAAAAACCTGACAGTGATGATAAACGTTCCCCATAAAAGAGCTAAGCATTTTAAAAGTCGTGATTCATTCCTTCCGTTGGCACCGGGAACCGTTAGGAAGGATATGGCCTTCGTTGAAGAAGTTCCCACGTTTACAACTCTTGATGCAAAACAAACCTTCCCCCCTAAAGAAAAAAAAAACATGAAGTGAACCTCAAACTGAGCACGCCGGCACAATCCAACGACATGGGTTCTTACCTGGCAGACGACCGATGTGTGTATATTCGCCCTCCTCCGCGACGCCACGGCGAAACCTCCCCAGAAGAATCGACACCTCGTGGACGAAGTCGAGGTAGAGAAATCGTGGTTACGACCATCCGGCGATTTTAGCGCCCACTCGCTCGGTGACGTCACTGGAACCCTCTTCTCGGCAAGCGAGGACCCGCGAGCTGCGTAATCTTCCGAATGTCGTCACCGCTCGTGCCTGTTGGTTTCAACCACCTCGGCCTTTGCGTAAAGTTTTTGAAGTGAATCGCTTTTCTGTTCTGGCGTTGCGCTGACGTTGTCGACAGACACCATCTTTTCAAAAAGTGCCTCTACGTGTATTCGGAAAACCACCTAGACTGCTAGTGCATCGTCCGCATTACGTGAGATCTGGCAGTAATGATGCCAATTTAGTGAGTCAGGCTCACGCAGCCAGGCTCACCGTTCTCACGCCTTTGCTGTTGCCGATTTCTGTGACATCCATGGTGGCTTCTAACGGCCTTCGAGCAGGTCAGCCTAGAGGTCAAACCGTTCCGGATTCCGAATCTGGACCGTCTGGATACTGGAGCTCAGCTTAGCCGGACAGTTTGTAATCTATTAGTTGTGAACCGCAATGGTAAGCACAGCTACGCAGCCAGAGCATTGGCAAGGGGGGGGGGCATAAGGTTAACAAGGGGCCCCCTGGTAGCAAAAAGGTCCTCAAAATCGTTGGATATGGGCATGTGCCAATGAGGGCATGTTTTTCGTTGCTATTTAAATTATGTCATGCGTTTAACGGCTTGCATGAAGTACATCGCCGACGCTCTTCATTTTACGGCGGTCCAATGCAATTTTGTACCGATATAGCTCAGCAAATCTGTCAGAATCTTTATCTGGGTTGCGTAAAGACATCATGGACTCTGCTAATGTAGATCGAAGATCAAAATGGTTCAACAATTTGTTTTAACGTAGCCAAACCATGTTGTCTAGAAATGTTTAACATCCAGTCAGAATAAGTGTGATGCAGCTTTTGTAACATGGTTATGAGCATCTCCGCCCGCATTTCCTAGCAACAAAAACCTCGGCGCCAGGCGTTGCAGTCTGCATAGGCCGCGCAGCGTCGGCCCCCTCGCGGTTAGTATTAAGCCGTGACCAACACGTGTACGCAAATGACAACGTAATTTGAAAAAGTACATTGCACCGCTTTAGAATATAAAATCGTGGATTTAGAGGCACTCCGGACGCATCTTTCACGTATGCGATTTTTAGATTGTTGTGATAACGAATTGGCCTTTGCAGAACCGCGAAATGGTACTGGAATCTCTATTTTTTGTTGCTGTAGCTTTAAATCTGTACACACGACGACCCACAACTTTAAAAAAAGATTCCCCCAGTCCCATCTTTAAAGTTTAAGAATTACTTTTAGCATACATTTACAGACCATTAATTTACGATGGTTGTTGTGCGCACAGCGCCCGCCGCATGGTGTTACTTGCAGCGGCCAACACCGTTCAGTTTTACGGGAATGCAGCCCAGGCCATCGCTGTCCGTGCTCCCCGATATCGCAGCCATAACATTGGGGTTAATGATGCACCGTACCCGTAACTGAACCCCGTACCTCTGGTTTCCCGACGCGCAGTAGTTAACCCAGGCGCGTTAACCACTACATTGTCGGCACCCGTCGCGGAGGCTCAAATATTTGGATATTATTTGTTTTAGTAGTCGATTCTGCAAAAGAATAACAGTTCTCATGCAACATGGGATGGCCTTGTGCGTTTTTTAAAACTCATTTCGACCACTTTCTTCAACGCAAACGAGGCCCCCTATTTACGGGAAAGGGGCCTCCTTGAGGCCCCGTTGTTTGAAAGGGGCCCTGAATCGCTAGACCCGTCGGGCCCTCTAGGCACTTCGGGCCTCTTCGAGCACTGCCTCTGGCCGACTTGAGGCCCCTTGACAACACAGGGCCCCTGTTGGGCGCTGTGGGCCCCAAACAAAGTAAATAGCTGACTCCGGCTTTGTCCCTGCTTCGGAAATGGGCTCTTAGGCTCATGCCGCCGCGGAGCCCACTGTGCGTTACTAGTGGTGTCTGACCGATATGTGGGCCCATATCGATTCAGGGGCCCCTGATAAACGCCAAAGGCCCTCTGACTGGCATTGGAGTGCCCGACCCCCGCGGGCTGGGGCCCCTGAATGCGGCCTCCGGCCGGCCCTTCGGGCCCTTTGGTCGCTCAAATCGAGCCCTCGATCGTCGGTTCCGAGGGGCCCGTCGGCCCTCGGAACCTGGGGGAGGGGGGAGGGGGATGGCACATGCTACCCGGTGCCCTCTCCCTCTGCCTACGCTTATGGGTAAGCGCGATGTTTCCAAAGCAGGCCTCAGGTGCACAGTCGGGAGACGACTCCTGCTGCGATCTCTGCAGTCCACATACACAGCCCGGACCAAGCGTTCCAAGGTGGTCCATGTTGTCTCAGCGTGCTCCACACAGAGTGAAGCTCGTGCTTCCAAAGGTGGCCACCGAGACATCGACAGGTTCCACACAGACCGGGACAGGCGTCCCGCTGTGACCTCAGCAGGTTCTACAAAGATCCCAGGCCACGCGTCCAAAGGCGGCGGCCGCTGTGACCCCGGCAGACTCCCTACAAAGTCCACCCTCATGCATTCCAAGGTGGCATAGGTCAAACACGCAGTCCGGTTCACGCGCCTCAAAAAGGCCGTTGCCATCCCAGCGGGTCCAGCAGACGTGTGTCAGTTCCTGCTTTACAAAGCGCCCGGAGGCCCACCCGCTGCTATTTGTCTAAGTATGAACAGGAGTCACTGCGTCTCGTTGCTCTTCAGTCCTAACACGATGCGATTCTCAAACAGCTCCATGCCGACGCTGGTGCACCCAGTGGACCCGGCTAAACAGTGCCCAGTCTTCAAGTCAGACACCGCAGGGGGCGACACCGGCGCAGTGTCCAGCATAGCTACAAACGACATGCAAGACAACTCACGCCCCACTTCGAGCTGCCCACGACTCCTCACCCCTGTCACAAGAGCACTGAGCGCGGACTCCCTGAAATTTCAAACGCACCGCATCGCAAACATCCCAAACATCAGGCCCAGGTGAGGTAGTTGTAGCAGTTCACTGAACATCAGGACGACCACGCCACCAGCGCTGTGCGTGGTGTGATGCTAATTGTGCCACGCCGTCATGTAAAGCACGCTGGTGGCATCGCGTATTCTACAGCCGAACGACGCTGGCCCGTCGGCACCGGCCGTATCCAGCGTAATACAGGCGCGCCGCACCAGCAACGGACGGCAGCGACAGCGAAAGAACCCAGACGTCTCAGTGAGTAATTTGAGCGGAGTGACCGCATCCTTCCATAACAAAGATTCAGCATTCGGTCGAGAGAGAGGGCAGCTGAACCCAGTAACTCTCCCGAGGCCGCCCCATCAAGTTTGCTGGCACCAGACAACTTCCGTTACCGCCATCGCACCAGACGCGGCCGTTGAAGCTCCAAGTCCCGCCGCTGGGACGCCAAACATCGCCGGCTGCGCAGCAGTCCCACAGCTAGCAAAAGAATGGCCGCCGGCGAGCCAGGCCAAGCCAGCCGCACGCCAGTCCAAGCCAGCGGGAAGCCAGGCCCCGTCGGCAGGAATCACACACGTCAGTCATGCCACAGATGCCATGGCATACCTCCTTTGCAAGCCGTCAGAAATACTGACATAAACGCTGCACCCTTGTTTGGCGCCTAAATCAGACTTTGAAGCATTAAGCAGTGTGCCGAACGTGACATTTCCGCTGCGATGTGGCGAAGACGCGGCGGCGCGGCGGGGCGCGGCAAGAAAGCTCCAGTGGGTTCATCGCCCTGAACTGATATGATCGTCATCTCACTAATGGGAAGTCCCACGATGGCACTCCTGGGTAAGGCTGTATACGAGAGGTAGAATCGTCCGGGATTCTCGCTCCATCTTCGCTCAACGTTGAAGCGACATCACTGGAGCCAAGACAGCGTACGCTAGGCGCCTAAGGTGCAGCCGGAACATTGGAATATTATATTCCTAACATCCTGCTAGCGTGCCGGGACGCTCTTGCCGATTAAGGGCTTCCACGGATTATTTCCATTCGTCAGAAAGGCTCTGTAGGCTGTAGCCGGGGTCCAACATATGTTAAGCTGCCGGAGTATTCTCGGTTGCTCAGAGGCACTTTACGTTGGTCTTGGTTAGCCTACCGATGCACTCGCGATATGCTCATGGACCCTCTGCAGGGCGCTTCCAATTCTCTGCCACTTGTTGAGGGCCTTACGCTCTTGTGAGGGGTCCACCTTTTGAATTGCTTGGACACACTCGGTCGTCCAGGGCCCTCCAAATTGGGCCTTGGGTACTATCTGTTTGAATGGAGAACCCTACACACTTATCGGGGCCCCACCTGTTGGCCTGAACGGGCACACGGGATTGTTTCGGGCCCTGTATATTGGGTATTTTAACGTAGGGCCCTGCGCTCTTGTCGAGGGACATCTGATAGGCTGCTTGGGTACACTCGACCTTTCGGGGCCCTCCACATTCGGTCTCGGGCATTTCTTGTTTGATGGGGGCCCCACGCTCCTATTGGGGCCGGCTGATAACCTGCTTGAGTATCAGATGGCTGACCATCTGATACCATCTTTCTGGGCCCTCCGCACTGGGTGTTGGGCACTTCTTATTTAAATGGGGACCTTGCGCTCCTGCCGGGGCCTCTTCTGATAAGCTGCTTGGTCACATTGTATAATTCGAGGACCCCTTCATCGTGTCGTGGTTATTTCATATTTGAAGGAATGCCCTATGCTCTTGTCGGGGGCCCCATGTGTTCACTTGCTCGGGCACATTCGATTGTTCTTGGGCCCTCTACATTGGGTCTTGGGTGCTTCCTATTTGAATACAGGGCCCTACGCTCTTGACGGGGACCTATTGTTAACGCGCTGGAGCACACTCAAACGTTGGGGTTCTCCACATTGTGTTGTGAGTATTTCTCATTTGAATGGAAGGCCCTGCGCTCTTGTCGGAGCCCCCACCTCTTAG